CCCCAAAACCCCAAAACCCCAAAACCCCAAAACCCCAAAATCATTCTGCTTCATTGAAAATTTGGATAATTTAATTCTGAATGTTTAAACTAAACAGATAATCTAATACAGCATCTTGGTTGTGGCCGAATTGCATCAATGCCTGAATAGCAGCATCTTCAGAGAACCCTAAATATAAATTTATTAATATACTTACCAAGTTGTACTCATTGAATGACTATTGGGTTTTGAGCTAATTCACTTCTGTTGTATGCCTCAGTGCTTAAGCTACTCATTGCACTAACAAGCATTGCCGCTTGAATTTCATCCTCCTCTGTTGTTGGATTAGTAGTTGGTAGAGCTCCTTCAGTAAATTGTAAAGATTCTCTAATTGCTTGGTTTATCTGAATATTTTCATTTTCTCCCCCTTCAAAGATTCTCTTAGATTCTTCAATAGCCTTTTGTTCTTCTAGAAATTCTGAATTATTAGACTCTTCGTACATTCTTCTAGATTCTTCCAATACAGAATCTAAATCTCTCTGAAATTCTTCAGCGAACCCTCTTCTTGATGCCTCAACAGCATTTCTAATTTGGTCGATAGTATGTCCACTATTCTGTAGTCTTATCATTTCAGGAGAGAGTTCATCTGATTCAGGATCTGCTCCTTCTTGAAATTCTCTTCCTGCAAAAGCGATATCCTCAAGGTATCCCAATGTATCAGATAGGATCCAGGCTTTCGAATTCCCTGCATCTTTGGGAATGACGGAATTATAATGAGACCTTTGGTGATAGCTCAGCCTTACAACTCTATCATCTTGATTAGTTGCTCCCATGACTAAGATAGGCTCAGCACTATAAGCATAAATAATAATTTTTCAGCTATATAGTTCAGATAAAATTTGAAGTTCCAAGTTGTCTCCCCAAACTCCATTCATTCTGTGATGTTCAATGTATTCATCAACTGAGTTATATTCATCAGGAACAAAGTCTTTAAAGTAAAGTTTTTCTTTCTGACAATAATCCATTGTTCTTCTCCTGATGTACTTAAAGTGATCCTCAGTTCCATAAACTTGGTGAGACAATGCTCTAAACATGCAATTTCCATCTGCTCCAATTGAGATGATTCTTAGGCCGACTGCATCAAGATCATCCCTAAATTGATCTTCTTTTTCTTTTCTGGCATTTCTCTGTTTAGTTAATTCTTCACTGTCTTGTGTGTTTTCTTCATTTTCAGTGGCTAAATTTCCTGGTCTTAATTTTCTTCCAGACCCATTTGCTTTAGAATGATATCCAATCTGTGCTATTCTATCAGAATCTATTGGAAGATCTTCCTCCCATTTGGCAGTGAATCCTTTGTAATGAACTCTGATTACTTTGTCTTCTTCTTTTATCTCGATTACAAAAGCTTCGAGCCATTTGTTTTGAGTGTCTATAACATCAATTCTGTTATTAATCTGAAATGACCTCCCAGGTCGCCATTGTCTATACATAACAGTCTAAACTTACTTAAGAAGTCTGGGAGAGTCCCATTGGATCCACTCATTCCATCTATCAGAAAATCCTGAGTAATGGACATGCACTTTCTTGCCGCTTATCTATAATGTTATGTTAGGTCGGTACCGCTATGATCTCTGCATTAAGCCATTTATCTTCAGTGTCTTTACAGTCAATGTGCTCTCTCAACGAGAAGGGGCATTTAGTAGGATCTAGAGGTGTGACAAATAAAAAGTACCTTTAGCCCCTAGGGGTTCTAGATTAGTTGAACTTTGGAGAGGAGGTGCTTGGTTAGGATCAGATTGATCTTGACCAGGCTGGTTTTCTTTGTCCTCATTGTCTTCACATTGGTTTAGCGAAACTAGATGGTTAGGAGAGTGGTTACTTGATTGGGATTCCGATTCTTCCATTTTTTTATCAATAATTATTGTTTTAAAGTATTTTTCAGCTGGTCGAAACTTTAAGGGGTTTTGGGGTTTTGGGGTTTTGGGGTTTTGGGGTTTTGGGG